AAATAACATTGCAGCATTTAGTGGTTTAATTATTCCTGGTTTTGAATGTTATTTTCAACGTGATGATGATGATGAATTATATTCAGATTGGTACAATGATGGTGAACAAACCGAATCGGATGATGCTAAAATTGATAATAATGTGCCGTTGGATGTTCAAGATGTCGTTAAACAATTTCTTGATTCAATTGCTATTGATGATGAATCATTTCGCTTGCCATGTTACGCCCATTCAATTCAATTAGCTATTAACGATGGTTTAAAGGGTTCAACTTGTGTTCAGCCATCATTAGAAAAAATTTCAAAAATAGCCAAGTTATCTCATTCTTCAATAGCAGTAGCAGAACGTCTTGAAAATATTCAAGTATGTGTTCCAAATCCCAATAAAACTCGTTGGAATTCACAATATGATATGGTTGTGGCTGTAATTGGTATTCAACCATCTGCTTTAAATGACATTTTAATACAAGCGCAACATCGAGAATTATGTCTTAAATCATTAGATTATCAAATGCTAAATGAATTTGTTTCTTTATCAACACTTTTTGCTGAAGCTACAACTACCACACAAGCACAAAAGACCCCTTCAGTCTCAATAGTAGCATCTTCAATTTTAGCTATTTATCAGGATCTTTTACTTGAACGAGCAAACGTTAAACATGCATCAAGTTTATGTGAATGTTTATTAGAATCACTTTTATCTCGTTTTGGTGGTATGTTGGAACAAATGTTATTAGTTATTGATATTTCAGAAAAGAAAAAAAAGAAAAATTTTTATGATCTTTTCAAAGATCCTGTCTTTTTAGTAGTGCCATTTTTAGATGGTCGATTTCGTCTCAATTGGATATCAAGTTCATCTCTTTTGGAACAAGTACAAGAAGAATTATCTAGCAAAATACAACAACTTGTATTAGAACAATGTATTTTAATTGAACAAGTTAATGCACCACTAGGAACAACAGAAAATGATAATCCAATATTAAGTCCAACAGCACAAACACAACCATTATCTGCTAGTGCTGCAACAAGTCCAATTACACCAAAACGAAAATACTTATTTACCAACATTGTGAAGGAAACAAAAAAACCTAAGTCGGATCCATTCAGCTATATTAAAGATGAGATATTCAAATACTTGAATGATGAAAATGCAGATGATATGGTTCTTTTAAAACCTTCAAACATTTATCCAACTCTTTCAAAATTAGCAATGAAATTTCTGTCGATTCCTGCAACTTCTGCTCCGGTTGAACGTGTTTTTAGTCAGAGCGGATTTCTGTTTCGTTAACATCGTGCATCAATAACACGAACTACTTTACAACAATTAACAATGCTCAAATGTAATCGTAGTCGGTATTAAATATATGCTTTAGGATATTATTTTTTATCAAACTTCATCATTTTTTTTCTACTATTTCTTTACTTATTATTTAACACTTTGTTTTTTTATTAGTTGATTTGAAGTTTTCTGATTATCCCATTGTGCCTCGTTTACAATGAATCGATTTTTATATGATGAACAACAATAAATTCTTTTTAACGCGTCCAACTAATGATAAACCAAAACAAAATTTGTTACATAGAATTTCGTAATAAGACTGACTTGATTTCAACTCAATTCAGTAATTGAATTGAGTTGAATTGAGTTTAAAATTTTTTTCATTATACATAAATTGAGTTGAATTAAGTCGGAAAATGTTTTTCAATAGTTATGAATTGAATAGAATTGAGTTGAAAAAAGTTTTCAACGTAAACGAATTGAATTGAATTGAGTTGGAAAAATTCTTTAGAGATCGACGAGTTGAGTTGAATTGAATTGAATTGGACAGCTTTTTGAGTTGAGTTGCCCAGCTCTGATGCACACACAGATCATTAGCATCATCTACTTCGATAGGGCTATATTTCTTTCTTCTATTGTCTTCTACACATTATTATGTATTCTTGATCTCATTGGAGATAATTGACTACGAGTATATCTGTCCGTGTTATTTTTTTCAGTTCTTGTTTATTATTGTTGAAGTGTATGTTATCGAACCTGCTAATAAAGAAGTAAAAGTACACCTTAACACAATGTTTGTCCATTTTACTTACTGTTCAGGTATGAAAACATTTCCTAGTAAATTCCATACTTTATGGAACAAATACTTTGGAGAATCACCTATCAACGAAGTTTTACCTGTTCTGGGTGTGGGTGTGGAGTTTGAGTGCTTTATTTTCCAGATACGCCCGCACCCCCATACAAATTCGCAGCCACGCACCACTCACGCCCCATCCACACCCACACCTCACCCGAACATGGATCTCGTTTTTTAGTAGCACTGCAACAATCGTAAGCTAGTACTGATGTTTCACTTCACTCACATATACATTAACTGTCTTATACCGTATGATTTGATTCGATTTGAACAGGAAACTATAAAATTATTATTTAAAATAAGTTGCTCATTGAAATCTCGTATAATAAAATTGTTTTTAGTTGGTTCAAGTAAAAAGATCTTGGGTAAGAGCGGCGTAATCCAAGTGCTGATGAGTGTTTTTGGAATCATCAGTGTGCGAGAGTGAATTATGATTTGGTTCCGTTTTCGATATCTCCACACCTTTGAATTAAACAAGTTTGTGAATGATTATGTCATAAACCATTTTCTTACCTGATAGTTTCTCTGATGATGCAGTTTCATTTGATGATGATTCTGGACTCTGTGAATTTGTATCATTTCCGTTCGCCCGTGTTGACGAGTTATCCTAAAAAATACTGAGAAATGTCAACTTCTTCTCAAATTATGAATACGCAACTTGTGTTTTATTGTTGGCAATTGTTTGTGGATCTGCAGAACTCGGCGAACTTGATGAAACTATAAAGAATAAGCTTCAGTTAAATAGTGTGACCATTTATGAAGACATGCTTATACATTGCGAAGTATTGAAGTCCCATGTGGACAAACCCGATATTTCACTGGATTCCATCCCAAAATCGGAAAATTTAGTATCGCAACGTTGCCCATCGCTCTAGAAATCAGTAGAAACCCTATTTTTTTCATCGTCTTTTGGGAATGAGCAATCACCTTAGTTGTGTTTTTCGTCATTTCCTAAACGAAGAAAAAATCGAGAATTCGACATGAGTATTTGTGTATGGATTTTACTGTTTCAACTGATACGTTCGACAAATCACTGAATTCAACAGTCATTTGAGAGGAAAATGATTGATTTTGAGCAACTACTTGAAACCATGTAGATCTACGTTCGAGATCAAGGGATTTAGCGATACCGAAAATGAGTTCGTTGATACCCGATGGATCTTTTCGAATACCAATATCATCATCTACATATGTTTCACTATTCACCATAGTACATAGCCCAAAGCGATCAAAATAGATTGCGTTATTTACTTTAAGAGGTTGGACATCTTGGTGAATTTTCTGAAGAATATCACGAAATTCAATGAGAATAACTTGACGAGTCTTGCCGGCCCACATATTCGTACAAACCAGGGCACAAAATATATTGTGACCAGCGCATTCCGACACTAGCCATTTAACATGTCCCAACTTGGCAAAAGAGCCTGGTGATGCGCAATAGATCATGCATAACGGTTTCGTTGCCATAATTAATTTCGTCACTTGATCACGTACATCAGTTTCATTCCACGATTCAACACCAGGCAAGTCCCAGAAGATAGTTCGATGTGAGTGACCATGTTCCGTATATTCCACTTGGTACTTTTTTAACTTTCGAGTACAACAGTCCAGAGCAGCACTACTCTTAACCAGTTGCTGCTGACAAATGGCATTGATAAGACTAGTTTTTCCAACGCGTGCTGCTCCACACAGCAGAATATTAGCGTCCATTCGCTCTTGATTCATTTGAAATATTTTTCTAGAAGTGACTACCATTGAGAAAAAGTCACACATTTTTAACTCAATACGTACTAATACGAGAATCATCAGATTTAAGCCCCTCCTACGCCTTCTTCCGCCACCCTACGATACACTTTTCGTAATACACGGAAAGTGCGTGAAAAGTCCAGAATATGTTAGCACTCCAGTGAGGATAATACCACAAAGCTTTTAGCCTAGTCCGAAGAGATTTTCTGATAATACTCACCAAGCAACGATGTAAAATAGCTATTCGGATTTCTCAAACTCCTCTGCTGAATTTTGTTCCATCAGTTTACTTGTTGTTCTGCTGATAGAGCATGCCAGGCAATACAGAATGACCGAGTTGTTTTTTCTATTGATTCTTCTTTTAAGAAATAGTAATATTACAAGATCAATAGCTGCAAAAATGTAACAAAAGCTTGTTTTTTTTACATATGTTTGTAGTCGTTGGTCTTGTTATACCACTATTTCCTTAAAGACGTAAGAGTTGGAAAAACAACTCGGTCATTCTGTATTTCCTGAAATGTAATATTAGCAGAACAGTGAGCAAACCGATCGAATGAAGTTCCGCAGAAAGATGTGGGAAAAGACAAATAGCTTTTTCTTACTGTCGTTTGATGAGCATCGCAGAAAACCTGTTGGGACTAGGCTGACAACTTTATGGTATTAGCCTTACTAGCTACTAGTATATTCTAAACTTTTCATACACTTTTCGTTTTGTGGAACTCACATATATTTTCGAAGAAAATGGTGAGTGTAAGTTTAAAAGCGAGATTTTTGCGGCTCCCCATCCCCCCTTCCCATTACAGACATCAACCTCCTTAC